GGTGTTGGCTTTGGCTAGTATGTCTCCTTACATAGCTAGGAGATCACGAGTTTGTGGACTAAGGCAGTTTCTAGGTTCCTTTGACCTTTATATTCTGATGACTGTTTGAAACTGGTTAAACTTTTGCAGGATATGGTAATAATCAATTTGCCTTTTGCAAATTCCCTTTTTTCAGCATCATTATCACTTTTGAGTAGATCAGGTTGAACCTGCTTGTGATCATTCACAATGTCTTCTCACCTTTATCTGTTCTTCTAACTTGAAGCTGCTTTTGACCATTTCTCTAACCAGTTGGTAGTCTGACCACAAAGACAGCTAATTCTTGTGTCACACCTATAACCATAACTGGTCATTTCCTTTCTGTCAAGACGTTGTTGTTGTTGTTGTTGAGTTGTTTCAGTCATGTCCAAACCTTCATGACCCCATTTGAAGTTTTTCTTGGCAAAGATACTAGAGTGGTTTGCCATTTCTTTCTCCAGCTTATTTTACAGATGAGGAACTCAGGCAAACAGGATGAAGTGATTTGCCCAGGGTCACACAGCTAGCAAGTGTCTGAGGCCAGATTTGAACTCAGTAAAAAGAGTCTTCCTGATACCAGGCCTGGCATTCTATCCACTATGCCACCTTCTGTTAAGGTATAGTTAGTTTCATTTTTGGTAATGTGTTCCAGTGTTCATAACCATATCCAGTGTCTTCTTACTTTCTTGTGGAAGAAAAATGAATCCCAAAATCACTGAGTTTCTGAGTTTGAAGGGACATCAATGGTCATCTGGTCCAACCCAAAACTGAAAAGAATCCCTACTATAATGTACCTGAGAAGTATTCATCCAGCTTCTGCCTGAAGGCAGCCAATCCCCCTTTTGGATAATGTCAGGAAATTTTTGTGAACTTTATAGTCATAATATTTCTGAGTAGTCTACATTCCTTTGGCCTCTTGTTTTTCAAAATTGATCCACATTTTCTGACATAATTCTCCATCAGTCAGCTAGCATTTATTAGATACCTACTTGTTCCAGGCAAGTCCCTGAACATCATGCTCAATGTTGAGTTGGTTTAAAGGTTTTCAGTAGCATTGTCCTGGCTCTTCATCTTCATCAATAGCTGTTGACCTATAAACCACAGTTCTCTTCATGGTGGTCTTTTAGATGATGCTCATCATGAGTGCCACAAGAGAAGATAACCAAATGTCCTCTAAATTACTTTCCTTGATGCTTTTGGGTCCAAGATTAAATCAATTCTGTCAACTCCTTTGTTTGACTTTCCAGGGACAATCTATGAGCCACGATATTATTGAACAATCACTTCCATTTGGTTTATGGTTTCTTTTGTTGAGAGGATGTCAGCATTAATGGGGTTCACTGGTTACAGTGGGAGGTCAATTCTTCAATCATTGTACAAACATCTCATGTTTGGAGTATTTACGATTAAAATTTAGGATGAGCTAACCACTATGTAATTCTTAGAATCCTCTGCTGCCTCTCCTACCACCCCACGGTCAATACTGTAGAAGTAGAAAGGGACTTCACAGGAGAGAGAGCCATTTAAAATTTTCTTTGTTTTATGGGGTAAACATGGACAAGGAGTTTGTAAAGTAATGATCAACTAGCTAAAGTGCTGGACCTGGAGCTAGGAAGAGCGGAGTTCAAACTCACCATCTCAACATTTACTAGCTCTATGGGGGCAGCTAGGTGGCACAGTGGATAGAGCACCAGCCCTGAAGTCAGGAGGACCTGACTTTAAATCCAGCCTCAGACCAAATACTTGACACTTACTAGCTGTGTGACCCTGGGCAAGTCACTTAACCCCAATTGCCTAAAAAGCAAAACAAAACCATTTACTAGCTCTGTGACTCTGGGCAAGTCATTTAACCTCTGTCTGCCTCCATTTGCTCATCTGTAAAATGGGAATGATAATAGCATCTACCTCCTAGAGTTGCTGTGAGGATCAAATTAAATAATATTTGTGAAGCACTTAGCACAGTGCCTGGCACATAGTAAGTGCTTAATAAATGCTTGTTTCCTTTCTTCCTTCGTAGTGGTCAGCCTACTTAGTGATCATCCTCTCCATTTTTAACAGATTCAGTCTGTCACCAGGACTATATATTCAAAGCCTTTCTATCATGCTAGAACCTCTCAGAGGTTATACTCTTCTTTTGATCTCCTTCTTTTGGCCCCACTTTTGATCCACGGGTCTCCTTTCCGGAACAATGAAACATCAATATAGGACTTTGTGAAGAAACTCCATCCCCACTATTAGAAAAACAATTCAGAATATACATCCTCTGAATGGGTAAAGTCATCTTACCATACGGGGGACATCTCATTCCCATACCACCTCAATGAAGGACTTTGAAGTTCCTTGGCAGGGAGTCATTTTGTATGTAAGGACTGGAGAATCTGAGTAATTTATCCAAGGTCATATAACATATGTGATATGTTATTGTTCTCTTCAGAGGGGACTCCGGGGAGGGACCTATGTCTTCTGATCTGGAGCGATTATATGCTGACATAACCATGGGAATAGTGCCTTCCCAGCTGCTCCGGGGCAGACATATCAGTGCAAGATTCCCAGAGAGGGAGTGTTATCAAAGGTCAGAAGGGCAGTGTTGTAGATTAAACTTCTTTCCAACTTATTGTCCCTCTGTTCCCCACATCTGGCACCCCTCAGTCCTCTGGCCCATTTGGTTCTTTTCCTCCTGCCTGTGTGTGCCCTGTTCATAAGAGTGATTCCACAATCTTTAGGTCTAATATACCATGAGTTTTACCATTTTGATAAGTGTATTAATCAGTGTGCATAGGAGAAGAAAGTCTATAGGGCCAAGCTCCTAGGGGCTAAAAAGGACCCTACTCTTCTGAGGAATCTAACTCTGTCTCATGACCTCCAGTGGCAGGAAGTTTGGGTATTATCAGTTTCCCCAGCTCAGCAGGAGTTTGGACAGCAGTTTTCTCAGCCAAGACATTTGATCTGCTGTCTGGCTGTTTCAGTGACTTCAGTGACCCTGCAGCACTGTACCCAGTGAGTGGTCTGTGCCACTCATTTAGCCTATCATATATGGTATTTTATTTATCTTTTTTTATGAACTGGGCAGCAGTTCATTGAAAAATACCCAAGGCTTTTAATGGACTCAGTATGAGTCAACAGAACGACATGTGGCCAAACATGAGCTAATATGATTTTAATAGATGCATAGAGCCCTGAATGAGGGGGATAATAGTCCCACTCTACTGCCACAGTCAACCACATCTTCAGTATGACGTCCAGTTCTTATCATTAAATTATGGGAAGGATATTGAGGAGCTGGAGAAGGGAAACAGGGATGGTGAAAGTTCTGGAAATGTAAGCTCACGGCAGGAGTTGGCTCAGTCTTTGCATTTGTATCCCCAGAGCTGAACAGCCTCAAAGTAAGTGCTTACTTGCTAGAAACTCCATGAGGCTCCATTAAAGGAATTAGGAAACTTTTGCCTGTAAAATCAATGATTTAGAGACTACAAGATGCTTGAAGGATTTGTCACAAGGAAGAGGGAGTAGATTTACTCCTTTTAGCCCCGCAGGGAAGAATATAGGAACAATGAGTAGGAGTTGTAGGGAGTTAAATTTAAGATCTTTCTAAGGAAAAACTTCTAAACAATTAGAATGACCCATAAATTCAATGGTCTGCCTGTCAAGGTAGTGAGTTTACTCCCTTTTGCTGGAGGTGTTTAAGCAGAGACCAGAAGACTACTTGCCAGGAATGTACAGACATTCATGCTTTGGGTAAGAATTAGGCCAGATGACCTCTGTGGCCCCTTTCAACTCCAAGATTCCATGAAATTATATATAGAATTAAAGAATCATAAAATGTTAGAGTTGGGGTTGGACCTTAGAGATAGATCATCCTATTTTACACATGGATAAACCAAGACCCTGAGATTGTGGCTTCACACAAGTAGTTATTAGCAAACCTTAGAATCTAAGCAGTCCTTTGATTTCCATTCCAATGCTGTTTTCACTCCATATCCTCTCTATCCAACTTTATTGGCATGGTACCATGTCTTATGCCTCTTTGGATTTCTCGTGCCTGGTGTAGTGCTCCACACTCTGTCATTATTTGTTATCAACAATGATATAGATGAGAACAGTGACCAGACAGAAAGACCTATCTCTGAAAGCTGAGAACCAATCATAGCCTCAGGCCCCATAGTTTAGGGAGGCTCTGACTTGTAGGATGTCACTCTTTATTCTCTGGGTATGGGATATTGAGAGTCTCTATCCTTCTAGCAGACTTACGTGGGAGCAAGATGTGAGCCAGTGTGCTTCCCTTTCTAATGTTAGACAGACAGACTATAGTATGAAAAGTCAGCCAACCTGCCTTACTGATGTCAATAATTCAGGGGTCAGTACTTGAGGGGTTCATGAGGAGGAAGTAGAATTGTTTGTGACATTTCTCCACAGGAAGAAAAATGAAGCAGTAAGATTTATTTTCTCCTACAGTCGTTGGAAACAGGTCTATTGGAAAGAAGTAGGATGATTCATAACTCATGTCATTGGGACAAAAGATGTAGTGAGACAGTTTTGCCCCCAAGAACTTTTCTTTTGGGCAAGGCCACTGAAAGGTAGTGGAATGGTTTTAGGCCCCCCTCCCTAAGGAGGAGGGATCTGGTCTCTTGCTTCCTCCCTATTCAAGTACAAGCCTGTCATTTCTGTGTCCATTTAGGCCAATGGGGTTTAACTTAGACTGTCAACCTCCATAGGCCAGAGACTATGCCATTATGAGAATCAGCCAAAGGACCACCATAAAGATAACTGTGGCTTATGTGCCAACATCTGTTGAAGAAGATGAAGGGCCAGAGAAATTCTATCAAAAACATGACAAGATCTTTCACCCAAGTCAACTTGGTTTGAATCACTCACTCGGTACAGTCCAAGACATCAATTTACTAAAGGGTTCATGCTGCTCGTGACAGTGATGGACTGACTAAGGGCCACAGCTACAGCCTAATTTCTTTTCTTCTTTTTTACAGAACTGTAACCTTGAGCCCCAACTTTGTTGAACATGAATGGAACAGCCAACCTGAATTCAGCCAGCCGCTCCCACTATGCCTCCTCTATCCCGGTGCCCCGTGTCACTTCCCAGACCAAGATCCATGCCCTGGCAGCATCACCTCAGTTGCGCCCACGCCAACACAGCCTAGTGCCCAGCCCCCAGAGGGCAGCCTCACCAAGACTAGGGAAGGCAGTAGGCAGCCCCAGCAATTCCTCACCCAAGACTCCCAGAGGAAGAGGCTCTGCCAAGCCTTCAGGGGGACTAAAGGAGTCCTTCCCAGGACACGAGAGGCCTGAGGCAGCAGAGGGCTATGAAGGACACTTGAGTCAGAGTCTGAGTTCTCCATGGAGCAGTCCCAAGGTAACTCCCAAAGCACTTTCCAGTTCCAGGGCTAGACCCAGGAGGGCTGAGGAGGCCCAAGTCAGTGGGGGCAAGAAGAAGAGGACACCAGAAGGAATCAGGGCTTCCCAAGCCCACAGTAGGAGTCCATCTCGGATCAGCCCACACAGAGACTCTCTGACACCAGGGGCTTCTGAGAGCAGGAAACCTTTGAGTTGCCTGGGGAAAGACCAAGAAGTGAACGTTAAAGGTTCTGGCATCTCCAGACCCCTTGGGCCTGAGGATGAATCTCAGAATGAGATACCTTCAGGAACTTCCTCCTCCATCATCAGTCCAGTGCATAGCAAAGGCTCCTCCCCTAGCCTGGGGACCATCAGTTTCTCCTCAGCCTCCCAACAGAATCATCCCGTCACCGCCACAGTGGCTCCCTTCCAGTACAGGTGAGTGGAGAGAGAAGAGGGGGAAGAGGTTGGTGATAGGGGCCCAACCCAGACAATAAAGTTCTGGGTTATACTGATGCAGGGTCAGTACCATGTAGATTAGGGACCAAGGATTTCAAGGATGCAGAAAAAATGAAGCCAAGGATGTAGGACACGTAAGGGTGTGGGGTTTGAAAAGCTGAGAAGTCACTGCCCTGATCAACTATTAGAATTCCCTGGCTAGAAATCCCAATGAGGACATATGGAGATACCTAAAATACTTTTTTTTTCCCCCTGGTAATCAGGAGCTGGCTTAGTCCAGGGAGCTGATGAAACAGAGTAAAAGTGTACTGAGCAAGGGTAGAGAGTAAGTCCTATCTGAACTATCAGATTCATATCATCACCTTCACTACCTCTTAGGTACCAGGGCTGCTATTCAGGTAGGCTGGAAGATGGATTGGAATGAGGATAGACTTGAGACAGGGAGGTGATGAGGACCTATCCTAGGATGGTGGCTGCTGTATGGATGGAGAGAAGGGGATGTGTATGAGAGATGTTGTGAAGGTATAAACAAGATTTTTCCCAGTGCTTAGCACAGTGCCTGGCCCATAATCAACACTTAACAAGTGTTTACTGATTGAGATTGGATATATGGAGTGAGTGTGAGTAGTAAATCAAAGAAGACACCAAGGATCTGAGTGGGATTTCTGGCCTAACGAGAGACTTCAAGCAAATTTCTTAACCCTTCCAGGCCCGTTTCCTCATCTGTAAAATGAGGATGTTAGACTAGAACAGTGGTATCAAACTCAAAGAGACACAAAGGTCACTAAACCATACATAAAAATCCCTGAAGGCCACATATTGACTAACAAAACCACAGATTAACATTACCTATGTTCTACTGTATTTTTATTTATAATGTTAAATATCTCTCAATTCCCTTTCACTCTGTTTTGGCCTGCCCATGGGAGTCTTGCAGCCTCCTGGCCCCATGTTTGACACCTCTGGACTAGGTGCTAAGGCCCCTTCTAGCTATAACTGTGATCTTATAGTCCTAAAATATGTAAGTGTATGTACAGAGCATCACTTCTCTGTGGTGGACCTTTGTGATTCAGGAAAAAGTTTCTCTGGCATATCTAACCCTCGTCTTCAGCCATATTGTATATTGTAGCAAGCTTTGTGTTACTTCTTTGCTTTGCAATAACTTATTTCAGATTCCACACTAGTCACAAGTCCTTCAGTCTTCCTGCAGTTTTAGAACCTGATTTATACTGAAATACCTTACAGGGTCCATATCCTTTCCTCTTTTGCATTTTAAAGCACTTAGCAGAGCAGAACACTGATTCATTCATGCATTCATTTATCCATTCAACAAATATTCATTTAGTGCTTTCTGTACAAACAAGGCTTTTTTAGACTATGGCAGGGTGTGTCAGGGCCTATGACTAAGTAGAGCCCGTGGTACTAGTTGAATCTTCTCCAGTTTGGGAGGATTTGCAGCCGAGAAGTTCCTGTGAGGGTGCAGGTCAGAGTATGGGTCGAGCTATCCAATATGGCATAGAGCCCATAGATGCTTTGGAAGATAATGAAGGTAGAGAGGGAAGCCATGGGAACTCAGGGGAAGCTAGGGAATGGGGTTGACCACACTTAAAAAAACTCTCTCTCTTTCTCGCGCGCACGCTGTCATTCACACACACACACACACACACACACACACACACATACACATACACATCCCTTAGACTAATATGTTTAAGAAAAGAGAACTTTCTACCTCAATGCTCTCCAGCTTCCTGATGCCACATACTTAATTCCTAAATGTCAAAGCTCCCTTCCCACCATTTCCCCTTGTCCTTCATGGTCCTCCCAACTCCAACCTTCCTTTGGATATTACTAAGTGCCCCCAGCCCATTCATAGGCCCATAGCTTTTTAGATTTAGAACTGGAAGGGACCTTAGAGATCATTGTCCAGCCCCTTCCCCCAAGGTCACACAGCTAGGAAGTATCTGAGGCAAGAATCAACATTGCCTTCCTGTCCCCAAGTCTGACACTCTTTCCACAACACCAGGGTTACCCTGGCTCCCAGCCTTGGCTTGTTTTAAATGGTGCTGCTTTCAAGTGGACCCTTTCATTCCCAGCCATGGCTGCCGCTTGCTTCAATTCCTTCCCCCTTAATCTTCACCAGAGCATCCTATCTGAAATCTTTGCCCACTCCCCAGTAGGCATTCATCCAATGTGCAAAGGCTTAGTTCACTCTGTGGAACCTGCCTGATCAAGAGTCTTGGTGTCAGCCCCCTACAGTCATAAAGCAGTGCAGTAGAGGTCAGGATCATTACATGCCAAGAGCTAGAAGCAGAAAAAGAAGTCTTAGAACTAAAAGGCTGAGTATAAAGTGGAAGCAAGGGGCAGTTAGGTGGTGCAGTGGATAGAGCACTGGACCTGGAGTCGGGAAGACCTGAGTTCAAATTTGGCCTCTGACACTTATTAACTGTGTGACCCTAGGCAAGGCACTTAACCCTGTTTGCCTCAGTTTTGCTTCATCTATAAAATAAGCTGGAAAAGGGAATGGCAAACCACTCCAGTATCTCTGCCAAGAAGAGTCAAACATGACTGAAAAAAACAATTGAACAAAAAAAATTGGAAGCAAAGTCTGAACTAGGAGCCATGATATGGTCCAGCTGTGAGAGTTCAGTACCAGGCAAATAACAGGTGTTTGAGCTAGAAAAAGATCACTTCTATTTGCTACACTCATTCTTATCTGTGACTATAGGTTTATGCGTGGCCAGCCCCACCCTTGAATTTCTCCCGCTAGAAAGGCAGCAGCTAGTTGGTGTAATGAATAGAATACTAGATTTGGACTCCAGAAGTCCCAAACTTGTATCCTGCCTTGACAGCTTCACAGCTGGGCAAGTCAGTTAGCCTCTTTGAGCCTCATTTCCTCATCTGCAAAATGGGAATAATAGCCTCAGTAGGTTGCTGTCGGGGTCAAATGAGTTAACATGTATAAAGCACTTTGTAAACCTTAAGCCATAAAAAGGTTGCTGTTATTCTGAAGCCTCTTCAACTGGAGAGCTGCAACTTCTACCATTCTCATTGGTCTCCATGGTGACAGCTGAGTCTGTGTGTCAATTGGATACATATAATGTTGAAATATGTTTCCCTTCATTTCAAGCCCTGGTGTTGGAGATTGCTAGGGTTGGCATTAAGACCAGAGCCAGAACTGAGGATTAGGGTTAGGGCTGTGCTGTGGACCTCCTAGGCTCAAGAAACTACTGGCAGATGGAGAAGAATGTGGTCTCAGTTTTGAGACCCGGAGCTGCTGACACAGGCAGACCTGGCATGGGCCCCAGGATGGTCTGCCTTCCCCAAGCCCATTCCCAAAGAGGTGCCATCTGCTCCCTGGAAGCACCAGACATCCCACTCTCATGGAAACCTGGCCCCTTGATCACATTCCTTTCACCAATTTAGCGATCAGCAAAGTGCCTGCTGAAGGATGAAGGAGAGGTTATCTCATCCCGCCCCCTGCCCATGATCAGGCTAGGATCATACCTCGTCCCAGGTAATCAGGTGTAATCCTGAGCTATGAAGCTTCTGGGAAAAGAGAGGCTCTGGATTCCATCATTTCCCCCTAGCCTCCTTTCCCAGGGTGTCTGCTCAGTCCTTCCGGCAGAAATCAGAGCTCATTTTCTCTGTGAATCAACCCTCTGAACTGATGGTACCACCTCATTCCCCTAATGGTTTTTTTTTCAGTGGGGGTGGGGGTGGGGTGGGTATCATAGAATCCTAGATTTAGAGCTGGAAGTCACTTTAGTGGCCATCTACTCTAAGCCCCTCATTTTACAGATGAGGAACCGAGGGTCTAGACAGAGTCTCGTCACTTGTTCAGTCACACAGAGAGTCAGTAACAGGACGGAGGATTGATCCCAAGTCTTGTTCAAATCAAATACTCTTTCCCCTGCACCACCCAGTCCCTGCCCTCACCTACCTTTCATCTACACCTCATCCCCAACCCCTCTCTGCCCATCCTGCACCCACAACAGCTTCTCTATTGTTATTATTGGGTATTCTTCTATTTCCAAGCACCCATTTCCCCCTATGATTCTTGTCTGATATCTCCTGGACCACAACTATGGCTATGTGTACATAAGTACATAGTACACTGCATGCCATTTTCTTTTGGTTTGGACTTTTATGTGGAATTTTGTTTAATAGAGCATGAAGTGTGTGTGTGTGTGTGTGTGTGTGTGTGTGTGTGTGCTCTCATTGCCTTCTTTCTGGCTTATTCTCCTTTAACTTTTCTGGGGTTCTGCTGGCAGCTGAATGTTTCCCACCTGAAATAAGCAACTAGAACCTAGACCTTATCAGGTGACATTATAGCTTGACCCTTTAGACTTCAGGAAATAGGGGCATCCAGTCTACCCATTGTATCTGACATGGTTTCCTGGATGAGAGAGGCATGAAAAAGGGAGACAGAAGGGAATAACAGACTAGGAAACAGCAGACAAATCCCCTGTCTGCTGCTCCCCTCATCTCCCAGTACTCCCTTCCTTGGACTCTCTACTCTCTCTGCCCAAATCCATTCAAAGTCCTTTAACCTTCTCCCACAGCCAAAAAATGACCTGCCTAGAATGACCTTCTTCCTCCAAAAATCCCACTCACAACTCATCTCTTGCAAGAAGCCCTCCCTGTTTAATTCCACCCAGCTCCAGTTATACCCCTTCCCTTGGCACTTATGCGCATTGTTTGAAAATCTGTATTTTTTTTGTTTTCCCTTTTAACTATAGTTTGTGGTATATATGTGGTTTAGATGGATAGATATAGATATATGGCATATAGAAACATGGATGTACCATACATCTGTTATATAGTTTGTCTGTGTATCTATTTATATCTGTGTGTGTGTGTGTGTTCAAGTAAGCAAATACACAAGGGCCCTATCTCTCCCCTGCCCTAACTCCTCAGACTGGGAACTTCCAAGGACAGAAAGCAATCAATCATCAAACATGTATTAATCGCCTATTGCATGTCAGGCACTGTGCTAGTTGCCAGAAATACAAAAACAAAAATGAAATTGTCCCTGAACTGTGGCTCTATCAGACTGGGAGCTCTCTGAGGGTGGCTACTGAGTCTCTTCTGGGAATACTCCCTTCTCCCATCCCTCCCTCAGACCCAGTGCCCTGCTTCAGACCCTGCATCCCTTTTCAGTGGCACTTGAATGACTTAAGATAATATAAGGCAACAAATGCATTGGTGAAGTCATGAAGAAAACATGAAGGCTGGAAAGAGGGAAAAAAAGAAAAAGAAAGAGAGAAAGAGCCAGAAACACTGTTAAAAAGTGCATTCCTCAGCTCACTTCCCCCTCCCTTCTCCAGAATAACCCAGTCAGCCCCTTTTGACCACCCCCACCCCACTCATTTGCCCAGCTGCCAAAGGGTCCATTTAGCTGGAGACAGTGGGCAGCAAGTGGGCAGCTCTGAGGGCCAGGGTAATTACCTATATAAAGAAAACCCACTGCCCCTTTGTTCCTGGGGCCTGCTTGCCCAGTTGGAATTGTGTTTCAGGACCACAACCTTGCCTTCAGCTGCCACAGCTCACCCAGCCCAGATGTGGCTTCTCCATGAGCCCTCCAGCCCAAAGGCTGGGCCTAGCCCTGCTTAGTCCCTATATCCTGGTCACGTTGGCCTCTCCAGCCCCACCCAAGAGTTACTGATCTAACTCAAAGAAGGGGCTTTCATATGTTCATGGAGGCAGGGATAATGTTACACTGGGTAGTTTGACAAAGACACCCTGATTCCTAGACTTACTTGCTGTGTGACCATAGTGGAGTAATTTGACTTCCTGATTTCTACAGAGGAGAAGAGAGGAGAACTAAAGGTTGATTAAGGGGTTGGGGGAGATAAGCTACCACCTCTACTCAGCAGACCATGCGCATCTCTGAGAAAGGAAATATAATATCCTGAGCTCGAAAGGCAGACAGAGCTATAACTAGCAATTTGTGTGTCTGGGGCAGGGTAGTGTTAATACTGGTAAGATCTGGGAGATGTTCACCTGAGATGTGACCTGGGGGAGAGGGGAAGGTTGTCTGGGAAGAAACTCTAGGAGCTTTCTATTTTAATTGTTCTTGCTCATAGAGAGCTGTCCTCTGAGTCTGAAAAACCAGAGTTCAAGTCCCATCTCTGACATGCTGGCTGTATGTAAGTTACTCTCAGTGACCCCGAGCCAACACTGTAAGGCTATAAATTGCTGAGCAGTTGCCAATCTGCCTAGGTATAGGGAGTCTCTTATAAGAATGATATCACAGGTCTGGTCCAAAAAAAATTCTTGCTAACCAGGTGCTAAACTCAGTTGTTGTTACTTTGCAGAAGAATTACAGGTACTGAAGAACCTTCTAAATTTTGTCTGTGGCCTAGTTACAGCTCTGAGGCAGGTGACATGGTGGATGGACCCCAATGCCCTCTGGAGCTGCACACTTGCCCTTAACTGGGCCTGTCCAGAAGGTTATGCAGTCCCCTTGGGACATGTCTAAATGTATATTTAGAGAAACATGTGTGTGACAAGGATAAGTGGCAAAAATGGAGTAGGAGATCCCTTCTTGGCCAGACCAGGAGACAAGGCTGGTCAGTTTTCTTAGAAGGAATGGGTTTGCCTTTGAGGCCAGATCTGATCATAAATGGACTTCAAAGCACTTTCCACAAATGACCATCCCTTTTTCATCCTTCAGGCTACAAGGAGATCAAGACACTGACCCCCTACCCCAAGATGGTTGTGCCTTTGAAGACTACCCCAGTCCCTCTGATGGATCCGAAGACAACTTCCCTAGCTTGGGTAGGTTCACATCAGGGAGAAGACTTTCTCCTGGAAAAAATGGAGGTACTAAGAAACAGAAACCTTCAGGTTTCCTGAGTGGATGGAGAATCAGCCAAAAGAAGTCCCTGCTTTCAAAGAGTGAGATTTCAATAAGTGACTTGGGCTTGGGGGCTCAAGACGTTTTAACAGGGGTTCTTAGCCTAAGGCAGATTTCAGAGTGCCCGTGAAATAGGATGGGGAAGAATGTACATTTATTTCAATATAATTGGTTTCCTTCACAATCTTATGCAATTTATTTTATGCATTTAAAAACATTCTTCTGAGAAGGGGTCCCTAGGCTTTACTAGACTGACAAAAGGGTCCAGGACACACACAAAAAGTTAGGAAACCCTCTTTTATAAATTCAGACTTGTAAACCAAGACCAATATTTTACCAGAGAGAGCCTGACGTATAAACCAATATGGTAAATGCTTATTAATAATAATAGCAAACATTTCTATTGCACCTACTATATGCCAGGCACTCTGCTAAGTGCCTTACAATCATCTCATTTGACCCTCACAACAACTGTGGGAGGTAGGTGCTCATTATGTTCATTTTATGGTTGGGGAAACTGAGGTAAACAGAAGTTAAGTTACTTGCCCAGGGTTTGGCAGCTAATGAGTATCTGAGTTCAGATTTAAACTCAGGTCTTTCTGTTCCAGGTCCAGCGCTCTATCCACTGGACCACCTAACTGCCTTATTATCAGGTAATCAAGGATTACATCTCCCTCAACAGACTAAGAGCGCTCAGAGTAGGGATGGAGTCATCTCTGGGAATGATACTCTCTCCTCTCCAGTATACCACCACTTGTCCAAATTGGTGTATCTCACATCTTGTAGTACTGGGATCCCATCTGGAAGCCCAAAGCACAGTAATCCATACTCTGTCACTAGACCCTAGAACAAAGAATGTGGGTAATAACCTAGCACTGCTGTTGAAATCCAATTGTACTATGCATGAATTTAGCCTCTTGTGCTACTAGCCTAGCATAAACGGGAACTTTTTCTAAGAAAGCGGACAACTTGTTTTGTGCAAACCTCAAGGTTACAGGGGGCTAGGGTCAGAAGAATGTTTTTAAATGCATAAAATAAAATGCATAAGATTGTGAAGGAAACCAATTATATTGAAATAAATGTACGTTTTTCCCCATCCTAGTTCACAGGCACTCTGAAATCTGCCTCAGGCTAAGGACCCTTGTTAAAAAGTCTTGAGCCCTAACCTGCAACCCAACCTGCTACTCTGATTGACCAAGTTCCTGGAGACAGAAAACAAAGCCTAGCCCAGTGTCACCCTAACATCATATTCCTATTATCCCAAGACTAATTTCCTCACCTTCTCCCCCTAGCTATTATCAGGGTTGTCCTTTCTTTTTCTGACTCTGTCTTGACCTCTCTGCCAAACCTTCTGAGCTCTCCGGGTCTTTCTAAGTATTCTGGTGGGTGGGTGTACACCTTGGCAGGATAATGCTTCAGGTATAAGAGCAGCACCCGCTTTGCATGAAAAGCAGCCAAAAAAAAAATAGATGTTAAAAAAAAGCAATCCTTCTCCTCCCACAGTACAACGCACATGCTAGAGAATGAGGGCACCAATCTGGGGGGTGAGAGAAAGTGGGGGAGACAGACAAACCAAATTTGACTTCACACTAAAAAGCCATCAGAAATGAGAGTGGTGTAACCAGGAAAGTATGCAAGACTCTATTTTTACATTTGCATAATAGCTTCCTTATGTGTCTGCCACATTGTTTGAAGCTCGATCATCTCCATCGAATCAGCGAGAGTTAATGATCATTATTTGGGGAGTTGATGAAAAGTCATTTACTCTCAAAATCCACTGCAAAAAAAAAAGGACTCAGTCAAGTCATCCCTGGTCGTGCCTTCTTTTCAGGGAATGGCTGAAATCCTTTGACCAGTCAGTAGGCAAGAGAATCAATGAGCTAGCTGCCCAATTGCAGGTTGAGTTGTTCTGTTTGCTCAGGACACCAGAAAACTGCCTAAAGATTCAGCTGGAGGAGAAGGAAAGCTAGAATTCTTGGACATTTATGCCCTTTAAGCACCTGAGCATGCCTGTTTTGTTCTGGGCCAGTTGTCAAGAAGATCTTTATTCACTTGCTTGACTCCCTCTACTTGGGATCTTCCAGGGGGTCCCTTGGGCATTTGCCCAGTGATATATGGCAGAGCCCACTCTTTCCCTGGGCTTGCACATATAGAACCTAGGTTGCTGGTGATAAACCTTATCACATGTATACCACACTCCAATGACATCACCTAGGATGCCCCCCAATCCTAGGAACCCCTACCTCTAGAAGCTATTCCCCCTTCTTCTCCCCTCCTTCCACCATATTTATTATCTGCCCAGGTGACATGACATCCTGGAAAGATACTCAGGACTAAGACATGGGCTTGAGGGAGACATTTTGAAGAGCTACCATGTCAAAGAAAGATTGTTCTAAGGTCCCAAAACAATAAATAACAACAAGAATAATAGCATTTACATAATACTTTGCAAAGCAGTAATATCACTTGATCCTCACAACAACCCTGGAAGCAGGTGCTATTTTAACCCCAACCTCAGATACTTGCTAGCTGAGTGACCCTAGGCAAGTCATTTAACCCTGTTGGCTTCAGTTTCTTCATCTGTAAAATGAGCTGGAGAGGGAAATGGCAGATCATTCCAGTATCTTTGCCAAGAAAATCCCAAATGGGATCATGAAGAGTCAGATATGGCTAATCAAGAAAACAACAGATGAGGAAACTGAGTTAGTCAGAGATTAAATTACTTGCCCAAGGTCACACAACTAGTAAGGGTCTGAGGCTAGATTTGAACCCTAATACTTTATCTACTGTACCACCTAGCTGCCTCAGAGACTTCATAGGAGCATTGATTTAGAACTGGAAAGTACATCAAGGGTCATCTAGACCCTTCATTTTCCAGATAAGGAAACTGAAGCCTACAGAGGTGAGGTTACTTTCTAAGGTAATACCAGTAGGAAGTAGCAGAGCCAGGATTTGAACCTGCAGGTCCTAACTCCAAATTCAGCATTCTTTCCACTGCAGCATAATGCCAAGAAAGTCAGAGTGAATTGAAGGCATTATAAAGAAACCAGTTTCAAATTAAATGAAGAATGAATTTCTTGGGGTTTTTTTTAAGGCAATCAAGGTTAAGTAACTTGCCCAGGGTCCCACAGCTAGAGTCTGAGTGCCAGACTCTAGGGCTGGTACTCTATCCACTCTGTTACCTAGCTTCTCCAAAGACTAAACTTCTTAACCAATAAAACTGGACCATTGGAGTAGGCTGCCTTATGTAGTAAATTTCCCATCGCTAGACATATTCAAGCAGAAGCAGGATGATATTTGGGAGGGATATTGAAGAGAGCAATTCATCTATTAGTCAGGAAGGGAAATGATTGGTCATTCCAATTCTAAGATTATAAAACTCTAAGTAAGGCAAGAGATACTGGGGTCATTTTCTTCTCTTTATGGAAAGGGAAACAGAAGATTTGAGAAGATGTCATTCCTTTTGTATGGCTTATAGGGCTTAGCATTGTGCTAAACACATAATAGGTACTCACTACATACTGTCACTCCCTTTTCCATTTGCCCATGAAATAGGATATCACTTGCTTTCTGCAGCTTTCAAACTAAGATACATGTTAAATGCAAGGAATCCCCTCTCCAAAAAAAGCGTTCATAGAACTCAAACATCTTCTGGAAGCCTACTTCCTTGTCTTACCTACTAGGAAAGGGAGAAGAATCTCTCTCCGACCCGTTTCTATAGGCTTGCCGCCAGCTTCACTGCCTATATTAGCTCCTGGTTATTGCAGTCAGATTACCCCTGAGAAGGGTCCTATGTACCTAGAAGATTCAGTCTCTGAGTTCTATTTCTTAAATTGTAAAACAGCAACGGTAACTATTATGAAATGACTTAATGTATGCAAAATCTGTAACTGTAAAACAGCATAAATATAAACTACCAGCAGTAACAGGGAAGGCAATAAACACTTCTGTAGCACCTACTGTGTGCCAGGCTCTGGGCTAGGTGCTTTTCAAATATTATCTCATTTGATCTTCATAACCACCCTGTGATGTAGCTGCTATCAGCATCACCACTTTATACTTGAGGAAACTGAGGTAAACAGAGATGAAATTACTTCCTCAGCTAGGAAGTATCAGAGGCCAGATTTGAACTCAAGTCTTCCTGACCCCAGGCCCACCATTCTATCTATGGTGCCACCAGCTGCCTCAAAGGTCCATAGAGGATTGGGTTTGAATCTCAGCTTTGCAATTTCTCAGCTATGTGACCATGGACAAGATACTTAACCTCTTTAGGACTCAGTTTCCTCATATGCAAAACAAGGGGATTTGTTAGATTAGATGTTCTCGAAGGTTTTTTCCAACTCTAAATACTATAATCTTATGAAAAGTAAGCTATGGGGTTTTTATTACTCTCCTCAAAGAACAGGGACCTATCCTGGGAGTTTAGACAAGCTCTGTCTCAAGGTCCTGTCAAACTCCCAGGAGGCTCTGCTACCAGAAAGAGCTAGCAGGAGGGGTAGCTAGGTGGCACAGTGAATAGAATACTGGCCCTGGAGTCAGGAGGACCTGAGTTCAAATCTGGCCTCAGACACATAAGACTCACTAGCTGTGTGACCCTGGGCAAGTCACTTAACCCCATTGCCTAGCAAAGAGAGAGAAAGAGTTGAGAGAGAGAGAGAGAGAGAGAGAGAGAGAGAGAGAGAGAGAGAGAGAGAGAGAGAGAGAGAGAGAGAGAGAGAAAGAGAGAGAGAGAGACCCCTCCATCTGGAAAGGTCTGCCTCTGGGGCATCCCATTTCATAGATGGATATCATGATGCCATATTGTTTGTTGGTTAGGGATCCTGAAGCTAGTTGCACTTACTGACCATTTTCAGGAAAGTGAGTGCACCAGCCATCAGCTCCAAGCTGTGGACTTGTTAAGAAATCCCTAAGTTTTAGAGCT